TAATAAATGTAATTAGTTTCCCCAAAATCGAATCTGTTTTGGTGAGGAAGGTAAATGAAAATGATCTCCCTGTCCTTATCTCAAACCTTGAGCCTTCTGAAATATTTTCTCCCCGTCTTGTGGAGAATGGGGAGTGAGAGAGCAGCTGTGTGGGCACCGGGCTGCCAGCCAGGGTCAAACCACAACAAACAGAATAACCATTTTCAATTCCTGCATTTCCTGACAGGACAGGGCAGCTGACTGTAGCTCTCCTACGGCAGGAGCCAACACCTCTGTCGGAAGGCCAACGTGCCCGGTGCCACAGTTCCAGCTGGGGACCCACCTCACCTGACTCTCCCCAGCAGATTCCCTGCAGCCCCAGAACTCTGTCATCATCTCCCTCCCACAGGCACAGCTTCGCTCTCGTCAGTTCCTCCCAAGTACACAAATTTATAACATTCAGTGACACATGCTCTTAATCTTGACATATGAAGAAAAGTACTCAGGTATCATATACGCACCACCTAACTCCATCAAATTTGACTTCACAAAGCTTTTTCTTAAAAATAGTTCTGTAAATTTGGATTTTTTAATTATTTTTTTTCACCTGTGCAATTTCTTCTGGAGTTGTAACAGGCTTAGACAGCTTCTTCAGTTCAGCTGTGATAGCATCGACAGCAAGCATCACCCCTACAGATCAAAGGGATACTGGTGAGGGAACAGAACAAGGTACACAGCATGGGAAAAAAAACCAGACACCCACAAACGGTTGATTTCCAAACCAAAGCCCACCGTTGCAAAAACACAAGTTTGCATGTTCACGAACAAGCAACTGGAGCTTCTAGTTCCATATTGTCATTTGTACACCCACTGATCATTTTTTGGATAGATGTGGCACATCTTCCATCACAACTGAAATTTAAGGCAAATTAGTTTACATGGGACCTGTAAATCTGATAAATCTATTTATCAGAAATAAAGCAGAAATGGCTTTAAATTTTCCCTATGACAAACAAGTTAACTGCTTATAAAACAGTGAAATGATCAGAAAAATTAAGACTTGTCCAGAGTAAGTAACTCAATCGAAACAAGTGGGTTCTCTATATATTGCCCTTCATATACAGCTCTGTGTGCTCTTCAAAGAGAATAAAGAAGCCAGTCAAGTCTGACATATGAAAAATAAAAAGACAGTAACTAACATTAAAAGTAAGGGGAGGAAAAAAGAGTTACCTCTCCTTATTTCTACTGGATTAGCTCCTTTGCTGATCTTCTCGAAGCCTTCCTTGGCAATCGCACGCGCCAGCACTGTGGCAGTGGTGGTACCATCTCCCGCTTCTTCATTCGTGTTGTTGGCAACGTCTTGAACTAACCTGGCTCCAATGTTTTTGTACTTGTCTTTTAAGTCAATTGCCTTTGCTACTGTCACACCATCTTTTGTCACTTTGGGGCTCCCCCAGCTTTGTTCAATGATGACTGTTCTTCCCTGGGGCAACAAAGAACAAATATTAAATAAAAGTTGCAGCACCCACAGCATATTACTCTAAGAGTTCCATGAAAAGATGAAGATCCTTTTGAACTGCCACACCTGAATGTATACATCACCTTGCCATAACAAGAAAAATAATTGAAGAGACTCCCTCAACACTGATACTTCCCCCCAAAATTAAAATATAGCTCCATGATGAACTGAATTCTTAAAAGTTTCCATCAAATCATAATAAAAAGTCTGCAATTAAAAAAAAAAAGTCATACAAAGATCAACTCATTGCATGTTCTGGGGGAGGGAAAAAAAAAAAGGCAGAGACTTGCAAACCTCGCTAGTGATTAGCAGAGACAAGACAATACCTAACTGATTTGTGTTAATGTGTTGCAATAATTTCTCAACCGCTGAAGTCCCCAAGCCTTCCTTCTCCTCGCCTGCACTCGCATCCAGTTAGGATGGGAAACTCCGGACGGCAAGGGAAGGTGGGGCAGGGGCACCTGCACCAAGGATTGCTTGTTCACAGGTGGACTCAGTATCCTGAGGAGCCGCCCCCATCAGTTTCGGCCCGGTCTGAGCTGGAGGCAGAAGCACAAGGCGTCACCTCGAGGCCACTGGAACTGGGGAGGGGAGCCTGGCTCCCCACTGACGCTGCCCCAGGCCCAGCCCAGGGCTGACCAGGCCAGACACGTGCCAGCAGGCCCCAACTCCAGCTGGAGCTGGGACGAGATGCCACGCCAGCTCCCACCTGCCTCCAAGACCCGTCTGACCTGGGATTCCTCTACACTGCTGCTGAAGGACAACGAGCCCCAGGCACCGCAAAAGAACCGTCACACTTCACTTACTGGTGTGGAACTTGTGAGAGCGCTGGCATCCTTCTAACTCTGTGCTGGGAAACAATCATGCCAGGATAACGCATAACCTGACTTCTTATTCCCATTTTGTTTGAATTACACTTCTGAATCCGGAAGTGGTTTAAGAGTAAGAAAACACTCTCTGGAGGATCCTGCTACTGCTAAGTTCCTCATGTAGTATCTCCTTGTTTGGCTTAGGTTTATTCTATTTTTTGATGCCATCTTACTCCAAATGTTTGTCTGGTAGCTAAAAGGAGAGCGGCACAACAAAAACTACTTATATCCAATCACATTTAAGGACTTGCACACAACAAACACTTTTCGTCTGCATTTTTGAAAACAGGACACCACCAGTGTTCCACACACGGGCATTCTGGATGGTCCTGTGCATCAAGAATCCAAGCCCTCACGGGAACTAGCCCTGACAAAGGAATTAACACTCTGGTAGCAATATTGAAAGACTGTGTGAGGCTGCAAACCACACTTCTTTACGTACAGAACAGCGCTAAAGGCAAGTTTCCACAGCAGAGCGGGATTTCTTAAAAATGCTGGAAGCTGACTCAAGCCTTACAGTACAACCCTTAAATTTCTAAAAATGCAGAGAGAAGAGCACATAAAGCAAGAACACCAGAACACAACCCCCACAGGGTTACAAGAAGTTGCATCAGGAACTGCCCTTTAACCGGTGCTCACAACTATGCTTGAGCATTCAGGGAGCAGCCTCAGTCAAAAAGCTCCAAGAGTTAAATTAACTGGCTACACTTAAACTTTGTTCCTTTATGGAAAACAGCCACAGCTTGCTGACATCACGGTTCCTTAACCTTAGGCTGTTCAGCATCGAGCATTTTTTACTCTGAATAAAGCTAACGGAACACCAAAGCAGCCTTGAGAAGAGGTAGTAGGCACAGGCTGTTATTATATGGAACAGATATTCCTGTGACCCCACAGAAAACCAGTGTCTCTTCCTTAAAAACCAATCCCCTTTCAAGGCTGGCTGCACACTACATGACTATGCAGAATACAGGACCTGGTTTTCCAAGTCACCTGGAACTTAAAGGGAATCACACACTCTGTCCTGTCCTACAAGCGGCATAAATGAACGCCGCTGCCACGGAATCACGTTTTATCAAGTAACATTTACCAGCCAGCTAAAGACTCAACATTACACTTCCAACGCCGCTTTCACCTTGTTTATACTAGAAGATAAAATGATACAAACCTGTAATTTGTAAATAAATTATAAGCTAATTAATGCACCTAGTGGTATAGATAGCAGAATTATCTACTGCACTGTCATGGCTATCAACTGAGTCACGGTAAGCTATTACACGCAACCCCTTAACCTTCAAGCTGTTTAAACAAATACACTGAACCTTCCACAGCGACACAGTTAATTGTACGTTGTCACTATGAGAAGCACCGCACTGCCCTCGTGGCTCAGGTGACAAAAACGAGAACACGGCTGTGTGCGGCACACTCTGCCCGTGCCCTTCACCTTACAGGTCCGCAGGCGGTAGCCACGCAGGTTTACCCAACAGAAAGTAACAACCGCTTTCTGCTATTATGTCTTCAATCGGGTCAAAGCATTAACATAAAGTAAGTACAAAATCTTCCATTACCTTTGGCCCCATGGTGACAGCTACAGCATCTGCTAGAAGATCTACTCCTTGAAGCATAAGAGCTCTAGCGTCTGCTCCAAACTTCACATCTTTGGCATATGCTCGTGTTAGATGCGGGGCGAGGGCTCTGGACACAGGCCTTATCTGACGGAGTACCGTAGGTAAACGGAGCATGTCTGCAAGACTAAAATAAACCCAGAAAAACCGTAAGCGCTGCGTCCTTGCACACTGACTTCTAGAACAGAAGAAGAGGAATGGGGAAAAAAAACAAGTGACCGTGAAGGTTCAGCTTTCCGGCCGGCCGGGGAGCCCAGGCCCCGCAGG